TCGACAATGGAGGACCGTCCGGAAGTCCACATGAACCAGGACGGCGATAAGTATTTCGGGAGGTAAATCTAGGAGAGTCATTCCGTCTGTATGAAAGTGACGTGATTGGCATATGTTGAACTTTGTATGATACTTGTGAGGTATGTACCGAACTCAAGAGTAGCAAGCTAGTGATGGTGGTGTGCAGTCAACCTGAACACGGGCGTCTCCTCTGTACCGCTGCGCAGGAAGAGCAAGTGGAGCCGCTCGGGACATCTCATGCATAGAAAATGCTCGCCATCACTGTGATTCCTCGCGCGGTCAATATTCGTGTCCAAAACAGGGCTCATTGTCTAAGGACCTAGGTAGTGCTGCCTCGCTCGCACCCCCGTCTGAGATGCTCTCTAGCAGGTCTCCCAGGTCGTCTCGTTGGGTGTTATTGAGACCGCCAAAACGCGACAACGTTTCCGGGGAGACTACATGTAACTTACAACAATTTGTACTCTCTACGCACAATCAGTGGAGACCAAGGCTCGATCTACGGCATAGGTGTTGCCCCCTCGCCGATGCATTCATCAGAAGTCAAAGCTCTTGTCAAGATCCGATTTCAAATGCTCGCGCATGCCAGGAGGAAGTATCGGTTCCCCATCCTTCGCGATGTAACCTGTAATATGTGCCATGAAGCATGTACCACGGAACACGGCACGAGAACTCACGGAATGGCATCTCTACGCTTTCTTTCGCATTGAAGACGATGGTCGGGAAGTCCTACGACGTTCAAATCAGCTCATCAATAACCAAAGAAGAGATTGAATGTATCGCATACAACAAACGGAATCTTCGAAAGTGGGGCTACATAAGGTCTAAGCGTTAGCAACGCAAATAAGTATGAAGGACAGTTAGGAAAACCCACTCTTGTCTTGCACGACAATTTTTGTGACACCGAGTGCGGTGTCTGTGGTCATCTGTACAGGGCCCAGATGGCGGCCTGGGAAACCCAGTACTCGCAGCTCGGAGGTCCGATCGCGGGGTGGGTCGTCACCTGAGAAAACCTGATTGGACATCGTGCGACCAGTAGAGCGGGCGTTGACGCACCTAAAATGCCCTAAATACATACTTCAACTTCACATACGGAACGTCTACAGTGGTGCAGCCATAACTTACCCCGAACAGGAACCACTCGAAGCGACCGTCGCCGTCCTCGGGTGCCAGTTCCTTCTCCGCCTTCGGGTCCAGCAAGCAAACCTTATCCAGAGAGACCCCTTTCTCTTCCATAAGCTGCATGACGGACTTCTGGTGCGCAAACGCATCGGCTCGTGAAGGCGCGGCGTCTTGCGAGAATAATGACGAGAGCGTGCTACACGACCCAGGCGAGAGGTGAGTGAAGTGAACCGTCACTCCCGGCCCAGCTAAAGATCGCATGTGCTAGAGAAATGAAAGAAGTCATTCGGAGCTTTGTGTTCACGTTCATAGTGGACAGACCATGTACTCCAACTCAACCCATCTCGGGATGGACTTCGGAGTCTCTTCATCTTCCTCCATGTGCTCTATGTCATCGATCAGCATTTGCGAGATCATTCAGACATAACACACATACCTATAACATATGAGAACGCCATCTTCTTATACAGCTAGCTGAAGCGTTGTGGTGATGGTCTGATGCCGAGGCAAAAGTAAAACGGCGTCGGCATTTCCCGCCGGGCGTCTGGGTGCGGAGTTTATACTATTGACGAATCCTGGAGAGATATACGAGACGACATGGAAGAGTGACATGATTTAAATACAGGATGACGATGATGTGGGTATAAACAAGATCGCATGGATACATGGAAATAACCTCGTGACGTGCGTGAAAGAATGTGATTAACGCTCGTTAATCCAGCAATATTCGGGACGCATGGACTTGGTCTAGCAAGTCTTACGGCTACGAGTAGGGGAAAAATGGGAGTCGTCACCATACCGTGCATAGAGGGGTCGCAACTCACTAATCATCGTTGTCGTCGCCCTTCATGCGCTTGGTCTTCGGAGCATCTGAAGTCCCGGATCTATGACTGAAGCTCTTACGCTTCGTCAGTTGATGGGCGTTGCCGATATCAGGTAAAACTTCCATGGTCGAAGCGAGCTCTGTCGATACCGAGGAGGCAATGTCACCAGCCTGAGGCTCTGAGTTGAGGTCGCTCTTGGCATTTGGTTCCACAGGCCTGAGTTTGCGTGGGTCACCCGTGAGCTTGACGTCCTTGTCCTTATGATCGACAAGGTACTGGAGGATGAGACGTTGAACAGCCTCGTGGAGATGGTCCGGATGAGGAGCGGCCGGATCCCAGAGAGCATACTCGGGCCGGACCTGACACGCGATGTCATGGAGGAGACCGGCGAGATCGTGCAACTCCGGGAAGGGTTCGAATATGGAGCGCCAGTGCTTGAGGTCTAGGTTGAGGATGGTGCCACGCTCATCGTTCAGAGGGCTCGGATTCGCGTAAATCGCGTGGCTGTTGAAGTGCCCCCACAACGTACTGAGCGACGATGGGACGTGCACCTCCTGGGGACGTTTCGCCGGTTGAATGCGGACGAGGACAGAGATCATCGTCCAGCAAACTGACTCTACGTCGTGCTCAGGACGATGGTTGAATGACGTGTTAGCAGAGTCTGCGGCGTTACAGTTCTTCGGCGGTCGGCCGCCATGGATTGTCTTCGGCGTCGGCGTCACTGAGAAGTCGGCATTGACCAAATGAGGGAACTTCTCCGCGAAGTCAATGATTTCGGGGGTGATGTGCTGGACTTCATCCACGTATGCGTTGTAACGATCCACACCATATGCCTTGATGTACAGGTCCTTGGCTGGTCCTGTCAACTCCGGCATCGGAGTCGCCATGCGCGAGGCTGCAGGCAGGATCGCGGAGGACCTCGAAGAGACACACTGAACGAGCGATGTACTTCGGGGTGCCCTGGGTGTCATGTCAGATACTTGAAGGGAAAATAAATGCGAGTTGCACACCGTCCGTCTAGCCAGTACATTGTTATTGACGGGAGCCTCTCCCTGTCCCGCCAATTTCGCAGCGTGGTCGTAATCAATGAGCAAGCAGTCCGCTGTACGAGACTGCTCATCCCTATAGGTCGCATTAACCGTGTCGCTCGTGATCGGGACGGCTCTCCAACATACCTGAGTATCCCGCTAAGAACGTCCTGGATGAGTGGCGGCGGGTCCTTCATCATACGTCTCCCAGGTAACTTCCGCCAGCGGGGATAGATGAGGATGTTGTAGATGCTCATGTCTCGGTGCAAGATGCCTTTCTTGATCAACGTACGGTGCACTGTATAGAACGATCGAACGTCGGTTTGTTGTGCTTATTACTGCGAGAGAAACGTACCTTCGAGGACGTCATAGAACGCTCGGAGGAGATCATTTACAGAGCGGCTGGTGAACAAATGTGAGCCATAGTCGAGCAGCACCAACCTCTTCTTGGTACAAAGTGTTCCATTCTCTCCGATACTGCATTCGATCCTTTGTCCGTCGACCATGACGTCTTCGCAGCAGCTCATCCGCACCACGCCTGGGACGTCGCCATCAGCATGGATGGATGCCAGGAAGGTCGACTCTTCTGACTGTTGCCTGGTGCAGTAAGCCTCCTTGATAACGACGCGATGTCCAGACGGGTCCTTGATGCGGAAAACCGTCGTTCGCTGTCCCCATGCATCACCGAGGGCGATGAGGTTGCCTTCAGTGTACATCTCTTCACCGCAGGTAATCGACCAAGTGATCTTGACGCTCGTGAGATTCCTGGAAGGGTTGCCTGGGACGCACTTCCAGAGCACCGTGCTGTCGTGCAGGATATGCTTCGTGCGCGGGACGTAGAGCGTGTGGAAGAAAATTGCAAGCGGTTGAAGATCCGTCCAAGGGAAGTGTGCAGAGGCGACGACGCCGCCTGGTTCGGAGAGCATGATCTGGTAGTACTGAGGCTTGACAGTAAGACACAGGAATGCCGGATGATCAGGTCGAGCCTGCTGGTGACGATAGGCGGAGTGAGCAGCCTGTGCTAGATCATACTTCTTGTGAGCCTTGACCACGGCAAGGGTCTCTATAAAATGGTGGGGGACTCGCTTGTACCCCGAACCGTCTCTTTTACGGAAGCGATCCACATTGGGTACGCCGATGAGGTCCGGTCGGTTGCCGTGTGACTTGTCGTGGCTGTCGATGAACTCGAGATATGCCGTCGCGCTACCTTCGGTTGGGACTTGGAAGCGGATATGTACGAGACTCTTTGCATGCGCGTCGAGGTCATCTAGGCATAATTCAGCATCCGTGCGAGCAACCCTAGGGAGTAGTCTCACCGTAGATGATTCTGCTCAAACCTGTCAAGACGGTAGAGAGATGAGGGTAGTGCGGGGGTTCGAAGATGGGCGAATTCACGTTGGCGAGGATAGTGAGCGACATTTTCATTCCTGGACTGAGTTTGGCCATGTCGAAGGAGCGGTGGTTGAGGTGGTTGTGGGTAAAGTCCGCGTTGGCGACTCCGCCATCTGGGCTGGCTTCTGTAAATAACGAATGTAAGTATCGGTGTTGCGCTGAGCACCACAATATGGATGTGTAAAAAAAGTGAGGAGAAGATCATACCGTTACTCGTTGCGGTGCTTGATCGTGAAGACTCATCTGCTGCAGACATGGCTGGACTTCGTGAGGTTGAGGTCATGTTGGAGAAAGCAGAGGTTTTTTACTCCTGCTACCTTCTCGTTCGCTGGAGGAGATGACACGAGGGGAGTTTTGGAAAGTAGTGAGGACGTCGTAGTCGAGGTTCCGGTTCAAAAGCGGGCCATTGTTCTGCATCCTACCATATATGGATGGGCGCCCAGCACCCGCTGATCTCCGGTCCCCTTGGTGGAAATCCAGAGCTCACCGAGTCCGCACATCAACTTAGTACATGAATAAGTATTGACATGGGGGGGAGGAGAACGGATGTGCCAGATACCACCAAAAAAATTATTGGTTGCCCGACGGACAACTTATTAGCCTCTACTGTACCAGTAGCCCACCGCGAGGGTCGAACTCGCAGCCTTCAGATTACTGACCCGCAAGTCCTCGTAAGAGTCTGACGCTCTATCCGATTGAGCTAGGCGGGCGGTGGAATAGAGGCCTTAAAGTATATGCCAACGACATTCATCACCAGCGTCTAGGTTGCCAAATTGGTTCGAACGGCACCCTACCTTTGATTGTGGAAACAGAAGCAACCGTGCGCACAATGTGCAGAGTCAGCTTCAATGAGCCCGAATAACATAGTAGGTTGATGTCAAGTTCTTTGGATGAAGACGAAAGTTTCCTGCTGTTCAGTCACGTGATCAACGCCCGGCAAAAACTTCTTTGTGGCAACTTTATCGGCCGACAGTGCCAAAAGGTAATCGCCTTGTTCCGTTAGCCCACCGCGAGGGTCGAACTCGCAGCCTTCAGATTCCCGCCAATGTGAGTGGATAAGAGTCTGACGCTCTATCCGATTGAGCTAGGCGGGCAGTGACATAGCATTCTCCCGTCCACTCGTGGCGACAAAGATGATGACTAGCTAGAGCCTTGCACAAGAAATGAGGTGACATATGAACTAGAGGGATTGGCAGAGCTATCTGCATTGATATCAGGGACACTCTAATCAGCCTTCTTGCTACCCAGACCATAGCGTTCTTGGCCCGCTGCTTGGAGGGTACCGTCGACCTCCTCCCGAATCCCAAGCTCAACCTTGAGCACAGTGTTGTTGAATTCCATCATCGTAAGCCCCATCTGGTGACGAATACGCGGCTCCCAGGTCTCAGGGAAGCGTTCCTCCGTCAAGAACGTGCGGAGGTCCTGCAGTCTCCCACCAAAGATGGTAAGGAGTGTCGACGCGCTGTGACCGTGAGGTAAGTAGCGTGGACGAGGGAGGTTGACAGCGAGCGAACATACTTGGAGCTCCCGAAGAAGCGATGTATGAAGGCCAGGCTGAACGTCCCATTTGCCTTCTTCGCCTCCACGCGGCGCTGGCCCAGCAGGCGTGACAGGTCCGCTGGAGTGAGGTCACCATTGGGGCCGCTTCCTGCTCTGAGCACACGTTCGACGAGGGGTATGGCAATTTTGCTTTGGTCTGGATCCTCAATCGCATCCACCCCTACACGATGGAGCCATGTCAGCGCATGCGAAAGAAATGTTAACGAAGAGGACGCACGGACGAGCGATCCATCATGCTCGATGCAGTTATGCGCATCGATATCCGCAAGGTCAAACGAGTCTGTCCAGTAGCTCCGGTTGAGCATGTTTGCCGCATAGTTGGGAACGAAGAAGCAGAAGGTGGGAGCGAAGTTGTACGTCTGCCGCACCACCGCGGAGAGTTCCTTGAACTTTATGTTCCTTCCCGAATGAGGCAAGATCCCTACCAGAAGACAAGTATATCGATCAGCAGTGTCAAACCGTTGGGACTAACGATATAGCGTACCGTGGTTGGCCATGGCGTTTAGAGCCGGGCACGAGCATCGACTATCACCCTGCTTCGGAGGAACGAAAGCTGGCCACTTTCCTCCAGCCCCTGGATGCCCGTGAGGGACGACGTGCCCGATGCGTCGGTCCGGAATGGCGAGATTGACAATGAAGAGCACCAAGTCAACCAAGAAGACTAGGATGTTAACCAGCTGGCCTCCTAGGAAGGACAGTAGACCCACGAGGAGCCGCTTAGTCGCTACGAGGGCGAAGGGTGGGTCGCTCATGGTGGGTGGTGGGTGAGAGCAAGTGCGGGGGAAGTGAGATCGCTGAGCGACGTTGAAGGCTCAATGGCCTCGTGGCCGTCCGTAAACGTAGCTTAACATTCCGTCAGTAGTCTCAGTACGTTTCTCTGACTCCGACGCCCAAGATGGACAGCGGGTGTCCTAGCAAGCAGACATGGAAGGCCGGTAACCTACGCATATGGGAAGGAAGATGCGCTGTAGCGTACTCAGTTCAGAATTTCTACCCCGCGATCCTGTATCCTGTCCCGGTGTCGATCCGCGCGGCATCATTCTTCAGCACCCGCAGTATTTTCGGGTGGTACCGGCGCACTGCATTCGTCGAACGTTGGAATTCCGGTCCCGATTGGGGTCAAGTCTACGACTACCACGACTCATATTCCGAAGAGTTATCTAGCAAAATCTGCCCCCAACGCGGTTGAGCATTTGCTTAAAAAGCTCGTAGTACTCACACGCACCCTTGTCTAGCGCTGCCATTTATCCAGTCAGAACCGATTCCACTTCTCGTAATCAAACCTTCCATGCAGCCGGGTGACGATTTCCTGGTAGTCCGGCTCGTTATCAGCAGTTATGATGCCTTTCCGCACCATGAAGTCTATCAGGACTGATCAAAGTCGCAGGTCAGCCATGGGCGAGAAAGAACGGGCATGGAGACGGTAAAAACCTGGAGCGCAGTTGTACTTGAATTGACCAGTCTTGATATACTCCACAACAGTGGACAAGGGTAGCAACTGGAAATCGTGCGTTGTTAGAAACGGGAAATCTCCGGCCGCAACGTCGATTGACCTCAAAAGATTCAACTTCCCCGTCGAGAGGCTGCGGCTGAACACCGGATCCGGCAGGGAGGCAAAGATCATAAGTATATCTACGTATTCCGTCAACTTTACAGATCGGCGAAATACGCGTTGAAGTCACTCACTCGATCTCAGGCTGAAGCCAGCCACGCGGCGTTCTGTACAGCGTCACGAGTCAACTAACTTGATTTGGGGGACGACAAGGCGCATAGATTTCTCACCTGAAGAAGTAGCTGATGCTGCCCGTTGCGCGGGCATGCCGTTTCACCACGTCTTCGGGAATACTACCTTCCTCCATTGACTCTTTGACCACGCAGTCGAAGACCCCACGTCCGGCGTCGATCCCGCCCGCAACGCTGTTATCGAGGTATCCAGGCCACGTCTGCTTTGTCGCGGCGCGGCGCGGCACCCAGATCTTGTACTGAGTTTCCTCGCCAGGAACCTCCTCGTATACGGTCATGTGAACACCGAAAGTCACAATGCCGAACAGTCCGCTTGCCGCCCTCTCCATCTCGAACGCATAGTTGAGCGTGTCCCCGTCGATGCTCCCGCCCTTGGGGTAGTCGCGCGGACCGAAGGGGTTACGGTAGACGGGATAGAGCTCCGCGCGCCACTTCCGCGGACTGATCTCGTCGGGCCAGAGACCCGTGTCGCGCCAGCGTTCGCAGAGCTCCTTCATAACGCGCGAACGTGCCGCGGGGGTGTCGATTCCGCGGGCGAAGCTCACCCAGCTGCGATCGGAGCTCTCATGGATCTCCCAGGAAGGCGCAGAAGACGACTCGTTTTCCTTGCGTAGCTGAGCGACGATCTCCGGGCGAAGCAGTCCAACTGCCGGCGAGGATGGATCAGGAAAGAGGAGCCACGGGATAACCTTCTCGTCGCCGGGCGATCCTACGCGATAGTTGTCGCAGGAGCTGAGGACCTGCAGGAATGTCTGTGGGAGCGTGGGTGTCGGACCTGGCATCTTAGCTGTAGAGGTGAGAAAGTGAGTACAGTCTCTTTATAATTCGCTATCTAGGTTACACGTACCCACTTGCGCGCAGTAGTCGTTACGTGGAACGTGGAAGTCAGTACATAACAATGTTCACGAGAACAGAACCAGGCGCCGGCGGAGGAGTCACATAATTCGTGGCGCGACATACGGTCTGCCCGATTGCAGCGACAAGTCTTGTCAGGTGCGAACAGAGTGCATGGGACGACGAAACGGACTCTTCACATCCACAAGAGTAGCGTACGCTATGGGAGACGGACGAGAGCATCCGAGAGTACTTACTGAGTCATGCCAACACATTTTGCACTCCGATAGTGCCTCCGATGGCTATGAATACAATCTGGGAGATTCGGCGCTGTAATTAATCGGGGTCCGAAGTGATGCCGTCCCGTCTGAGTCCCAACTTCAAGTTCGACTTGTATCCCCTCGGTCCTTGAAGGACCTGTCTATTGGAAGTACACCTAACGACCCTTATAAGAGCACAGAAGAGCGCACCTGAGCGAAGAGTTATTCCGAACAGATATTCCGAAGACAATCCCAAAGACAACATCATATCCTCAACTATATGTACTATCCGAGATGATCGCCTTGGTTGGCAGTCTCGGATCTAGGGTGAGCGGTACCAAACTACTATGGTCGACTCAATTCTGCGGTTCTACGGGCCGTAAGTTGCTTGAGACGTTCATCAACACTGTGGCCGAAAAGCGACGGGCTATCAGCAGACGCAACACCACGACTGTCGCAGACGAACTCACCGTGGACAACTGAAGTCATCTCCGAGATGATCTACGAGGATGGTGTCTCCCGCGCACTTCCAGAGAGCACACTCCAGCGTCAGCTTGTCCTCCACCCAGTCCGAATACACAACGTCCCAGAACTGCTGCATAGCCGGGAAATCCATGTAATGGTGCTCCATCATCGTCATCTCCCAGTATTCCGGATACCATCCCCCGTGCTCCCAGTCGATGATGGCCGCCAACCTGTTGTCCTTGATGAGTATGTTGGCACCGTGCAGGTCCGCATGGATGAAGCATATACGGTGCCGCTTCGCGCGAACGGGCGCTGCAAGGCGACGAAGCGCAGGGAGGTGATGTGCGACAGCGGAGCTGGTTCGCTCTACGAGGTAGTCCTTGAACTCCTCCTGTGATGAGAAAGGTCCCATCGCCTCCCTACCGATCCGGACAGTTATGAGCTTCCGCCCCCGCAGCCGTGTCACAGCTCCGGAGGGCGCAGGCAGCGTTCAGAATTGATCCAACGACCGGCGCAGGTCGTCAGCAAGACCAGCGATATCGATCATGTCGAGTTTCGGCGGGGGACATGATTGCACTTTTGCGACGGCGATCTGAAGCGCAGGCATATCGTCGGCATTGAGGGCGGCGTCCAGCTCAGCTAAGGCGGCATCGTGGGCAGGTGTCCGTCGTTCGCGAGCTTTGATCCAGTCGCCGAGAGTCTCTCCTTCTATCCAGGTCATGAGAATGTACCCGCATTTTGCAGAGTGATGTTCCACAACGTCAAAGAGTCTTGGGATCGGTAGAGGTGTATGGATCGCAACGAACTCCATATTGTCGGCTTCAGGAAACGGGAAGGAATAAATCTTCTTGAGAGCCAGGTTGCACGGTAGCTTCACAACTGGCGAGAGGGGAATTGAGATGCCAAGATCCATCAACCTGTCGTAACAAACGACCCGTATGGAACTGGGGAACAAACGCCACAGGGCCCACGTTGCCCTAGACGTGGTTGCGTAGCATATGAGGTGGAGGAGAGCGTTCATACCCTATGCAATAGAAAATCCTAAGTTATCTGTTCAAGGCGCAAGCACAAGTGACACGGACGACGTATCTGATATCTTGTATGGGGAGAGATAAGTACCGGTAAATACTGGTTCAAGAGTGGGTATCAACTGCACTGCGGCGTTCCGACTCGGCAACATATGTAGAGTACATATTGGGTAATCTAACAGCTGACATGAACCGTTGGGCTCA